TTTGTATCTCGCCCACGTTCAGATGACGGCCCAGCTTGCACGACACCAGCCTCATGAAGATCAGCTTCTTCTTGTCATGAATCTCAGAATCTATATAGCGATCATTACAGTCGTATTCCTGCAACACGTCCTGTATGGCTTTGCACAAAGGTTTGTGCTGCTTCCAGTGCTGCTTCTGATGTTCCCGACCACAATAGGCGATCATCCTGCAGCTACCGCATCTCTTCAAAGAAACGCCGTCGCCAAACCGCTTGCAAACGTGACACATGGTCGCGTAGAAGAACGTGGTATAGTCACATTGTAGATATAAACAATTTCTTAATTCCATGACTTCTGGCCGCAGTATCGTTAAGTATATCAAACGTCTCTTTCAGTGTAAAAGACAAATGTAGTGTTTGGAATGTTGTGATTTTGTAGGTTGCACCTGGAAGACATGAGCGTTAAGCAAAATATATGACAAAATTTGTAGAATAATTATAATTTCACAAGATGAATAGGAAGGATACTGTTTATGCTGGCGTTATTGAATAGAGAACGTACATCCAGGACTGGCTACTTCGTGATACGGTAGTATTCGAGCACGAAATTTTTTCAGGCCACTACTACCTTAGCTCTAGTACCCACGTGAGGTTGAAACCTGCAACAAATAAAGCATAGTCGTTAAATAAAATCTCGACGGTTTTTCGAATTGCAAGATCTGTGAACATGTTTTTGCCGGTCATCTAACCTAACCTGACCTATATTCTTAACCTGCGACGGGTTTTTGTCGAAACGTATTTTATGCAGAAACAATTATTGAATTTTGTTAATCTTACCACATATATATATATATATATATATATGAAATTATTGATAACGTTAGTATTCTCGTTGGAATACGCCCTTCGCGAAACGATATACTTATTCATATAAAGAACGGCGGGAAACTACTTATTACTGCCACGTGACTGCCAACTGCTGCCACCAGTGCCACCAGAGAGTTTGAACCTAACCTCTAACCAAAACCACGTGCTTTATTTTCAAGACTCTAACCTAAAAGTCTCATCTTATTTTATGTTTCATCCGAGGACACCAAGGAAAAAAACCCCTCTTATATTTTATGTTTTGAAAACTTTGGTTTTCGGGACGAAAGAGAGCCGAATGACTACATTCCCAAAATTCGAGATTGAACTGGGCTACTTTTTCCATTCTTAACAATAATGGGGAAAAAACGTTATAATTCGAAGTCAAGAGCTGTTGCAAACGTGGAAGTTGATAATTCTACCACTAAAGAGGTAAATTTACTTGTAATTACTTACATCCGTTTTGTTTCCTCATGAAAAAGATAAATTATATTGTTTGTGTAACACTTGTAACTTATATATACTGTCTATAGTATTTTTATTACGTAAAATGTTTATCAAGTTGTTTAAAGTCATTAGTTGTTGCTTTAAATATATTACTTATTAAACATATTTGCTAGATTGTAGTGGACATTGAGCATCGCGCTGAGAATTACGACAGTTGCAATGCGCTTGTCCTGCCGACTCAAAAGAGAAAGACAAAAAACATAGATAAGAAGGTAACAACTACTCGATTGTTATCGAAGAAGCGCAGGAAACAACTAGAAAAAGTAGTAGAACGAAAGAAGAAAAAGTTACAGGTATCATAATTTTATTCTATATAAACAACATAAAACGTTTACTTGATGTCTTTGATAATAATATTTTGTAGAGAGCAACGTTGTTAGAAGATTTGGCAAAAGTACAAGCATCTCCTACCGAACTGCAACAGTATGTGAGCCTAACATCCCTGCAAAACAAGGGCTTGAAGCGTCATTTTCGAGAACTTGAGATGCCTGTTGAAAAATTAAAGCGCAAAGCGAATGAGGAGGAAAGCGATTTGATAAAGTCTGTAAATTCTATTAAAATGAGCAAGAAAAAAAGATTAGCTATTCTGGACGGTGTAAAACAAGACGAAGCTAAGCTTGATCCAAATATAGTTGGGTTTGAGGTAAGTTTGAAATAGCGACAATGGTAATTTATAAAGTTATAGTACAAGTAATCGAATAATGTTTATTTTAAGTCCAGTGATAGTAGCAAAGAAGAAGATAGTGATAACGAAGAAGAAAATGAAACACATGTTCTTGATAATACTACTGGTTCTAATGTGACAAGTGAAAAGGCTGAAATAAATGAAAAGAAAGATGAGAAGAATTTCACGAGAGATGCGGAAAAGGAAACACTTTCAGCTAAATCTCAGGAATCTAAAAAATCAGTGGAAGAAGTACAACAAAATGTTCCCAAAGTCCACACGCCAGCTGTCTTTATACCTGTAAATAGAAAGCCGGGAATACAAGCAGCCAGATTGAAACTACCCGTTGTTGCGGAAGAACAAATTATAGTTGAAACAATAAATGAGAATCCAGTAGTCATAATAACTGGAGAGACGGGAAGTGGTGAGTAAAATTACACAATTAACAGACACTTTAACAAAGTCTTTGTTAATTTTTTAGGTAATAATTATAATAATATTAGGCCAAGCACAATTTTTCATGTGTGTTATCTTAATTATTGTTCAATAGTTCAATCTCATTATAGGGAAGACAACGCAAGTGCCTCAATTTTTATATGAGGCTGGATATGCGCAAAATAAATTGATTGGAATAACCGAACCAAGAAGAGTGGCAGCGATGTCAATGAGCAAGCGTGTAGCTGAAGAACTGAATCTTTCCGAAAGGGAGGTTTCGTATCTGATTCGTTTTGAAGGAAACGTTACGGAAGAAACGAAGATCAAGTTCATGACTGATGGTGTTTTACTGAGAGAAATTCAAAGTGTGAGTGATATATCTTAAATTGTCGCAGTACAAACAATTCTGTACATATCTGATATATAATTATTATATATCTAATATGATCTCTCAATTTTTTTAATAGGATTTCCTATTAACCAAATACTCTGTCATTATACTCGATGAAGCGCACGAACGTAGCGTCTATACCGATATTTTGATCGGTTTATTGTCGAGGATTGTTCCGCTTCGTAACAAACGCGGCAATCCTTTGAAACTGATAATTATGTCAGCTACGCTGTCCGTGAAGGAATTCGTAGAGAATACGAGGCTGTTTAAGGTAAAACCACCGGTAATCGAGGTCAAAGCGCGACAGTTTCTTGTAAAGATACATTTTAATAGAAGAACAAGCAAGGATTACGTTAATGAAGCATTGCGAAAAGCGATAAAGATACATACTCGCCTTCCAGAAGGTGGCATACTAATATTTTTAACAGGTAAATTATCGAAAACGTCTATTTTTATATACTATTATTACAGTACAATCTTCGTATTCTTAACGATTTTGTTTATTGCAGGTCAGCAAGAGGTGCATACTGTTGTGCGTAAATTACGCAAATCGTTTCCATTGAGGAAAAATAAAAAACCTCAAGTTAAAGTGGTGCAAGACTCTGAGAAAAATGAAACGACAGATGCACTGGATAAAGAACATAGCGAACAAGAAGATTCCGAAGATGATTTCGATGCCAAGGAAGCGTTGCGCCGTAATAAACAGAGGCAGAAGAAACAGATTATACTCCCGACTATTAATCTCGATGAGTACGTATATTCGTATCGCCATATTTTAATCTTTTATATTTTTCTATAATTTATCATAACAATATTTATGTTTAGCTATTTGATAAATCCTATTGATGACACACACGAGGATTTAATCAATGCGCAGGACGATGAAGAGAACTTTGACGAGGATGAAGATGAAGATGAAGATGTTATTGATTTCAAGGGACTGACAAACGTGCAGCCATTATGGGTCTTACCCCTTTACTCCCTTTTACCTGGGCACAAACAGGCTAGAGTAAATATGTAGTGCATAATGATAAATCAATTGTGATCCTTTTGATGTTAACGACTCTCTGTAGTAAATTAAAACAACAGACCTATTTTGTGATGAAATAATTAATTTTAAATTTAATATGATTTTAGGTGTTCGAGTCACCACCAGAAGGATGTCGCTTGTGCGTGGTATCTACTAATGTTGCAGAAACCTCGCTGACGATTCCTAACATCAGATACGTTGTAGATAGCGGGCGTTGTAAAACTAGGCTGTATGACAAGGTGACAGGTGTAAGCACGTATCATATTAGCTATGCGAGCAAAGCAGCGGCCACCCAACGTGCCGGCAGAGCCGGTAGAACTCGACCTGGTCATTGTTACAGGTATCTCGAAATATCCCGCAATTTACATGCATGAAAATCTTTAATAAGGTGGACCTTACAAATTATAGATTTAGGCCGGTATTCATAGTCGGTCCTTATTTCGAGACCGTCTTAAGTAATGTCTTAAGATGCTAATACGGCTCTGTGATTGGTTAATGACATCTTAAGATACTTACGGTAATTTACTCCGCGTAAACGAGTGAATTATTGTAAGTTACTACAGAAGTAACGTTCGCGTAAAACGCTTACATATAAGAACCGACTAGGAATATCGACCTTGATCTTTTTTTTTTAGAAATTTTCAAAGTTTTTTTCTTAGAAACTTTATATTTAAAGTATAGTCATATTAATTATGCACATAATCTTTTGCTTTGCAGTCTTTATACATACATTTCTTTTCGTACAGATTATACTCATCGGCTGTATACGACAACGATTTCGAGGAATACAGCCAGTCGGAGATTCAGAGAAAACCAGTGGACGACTTGTTACTGCAGATGAAGGCGATGAATATAGACAAAGTCGTGAACTTTCCATTTCCTACGCCACCAGATGTGGTGCAGTTGAAGTCTGCGGAGAAACGGCTTACGATACTTGGAGCATTAGAACCGCCTTCGAAGAAACAGGAAGGTAATCGAACGGAAACATTTATATTGTCATTTAGACGGCATTGTAAAATTGCAATGCGTAGAGTGGAAGCACTCGGAGCTTATTATATATGAAACGTAAAATTATTCTTTTATATTTAAAATATTACATTGTCTAAAGCACAGAATTAATGTTTCATCATATTTAGAGATATACTGCGCGAAAGTGACGCCGCTTGGACGCAGTATCGCCGCGTTTCCGATTTCTCCACGTTACGGCAAGATGCTGGCACTGTCACATCAGTTCAACTTGTTGAAATATATGATATGCATGGTAGCGGCTCTTAGCGTACCAGAAGTGCTTATAGAAACTCGCGACATGGAGGGTCCAACTAAGAGCAAATGGTTGCAAACGCGCCGTTACTGGGCCGGAATTGGCAATAATTTGCTCCTCGGTACGTAATCTTGAATTCATTTTCCGTTCATATAACTTCCACTCATATAATACGAATATGAACGATAAACGATACGTATCTGTTTGTGAACAGGTGATCCAATGGTTCTGATAAGAGCTATCGGAACTGCCGAGTACGCAGGATCGAAGGGAAAACTGTTGTCTTTCTGCGAGGAAAATGGTTTGAGACACAAAGCTATGGTCGAGATCAGGAAACTTAGGCAACAGCTCACCAATGAGATTAATTTAAATGTGCCAAATCTAAATTTAATCATTGATCCCAAGTACGTATCTTTTATTTATTACAAATGCTTTTATTCGGACCATTCTAAAAGATAAATCCCTGAACTGTATATAGAGTTCAATAATCTTTCGGAATAAAGAGAATGCTCGACCTCGATTAGATCAGAATACTGGAATTTGATTGTATGCACGTTGCAATATGTTTGAGATGGTTGTCTACAACAAGAATTTGTTACAGAATGCCGTTACCAACCGACATGGAAGCGAAATTGCTGCGCCAGATAGTCCTTGCAGGTATGGTGAATCAAGTCGCGAGAAAGGTTTCGCCCGACGAGATAAAAGAGGATCAGGATAAGGCCAAGTGGAAACGCGCTTACAGGTGTGTTATTAATTATTATCATCGATAATTAAGACCTATTGAATGCGACCTCTCCATTCCGAACCATCTTTCAGAACACCAGAAATGGAGGAACCTGTATTCATGCATTCTTCGTGCGTTCTGCGGAAAATCAGTCCGGAATGGGTGGTTTATCAAGAGGTGTACGAAACGAATGGAAAGATGTACATGCGAGGTGTCACGGCGATAGAACCCGAATGGTTGCCGAAATTCGCTCCCATGCTATGCCATCTTAGTGAACCATTGGTTGATCCACCGCCAAGGTATTTTTATCACAATTCTTGCTTCATAATGTTTTTTCTACTTATTTATAAAGATATTAAAATCTTCATTATGATCGAATATTATTTTTATTTACAGATATAATCAAGGAACCGGGAAAATCATCTGCCGCGTGTCTGGTACATTCGGAAAGGCCGGATGGGCACTACCATCGATGGATATAGAGCATCCATTGACGGTGGACGGTGTCAAGTGGTTCGCGTATTTCTTCTTGGAGGGTCAAGTGTGCCCTAAGCTGGAACGATTTGTCCCGTCGCTGCTGACGACACCTGGGAGCATCACCAAGTCATGGGCCAGGTAAATCATTATTCCATCTCCTTTCGATTTCACGTTGATTCATCGAATAAATTACGTCAATTCAATACGATTTTTTCAGGTTGATACCACGCACTCAAGCAATAATACAAACGCTGCAGTCGCAGGGAGTCGTGTCCAAAGACAAACTGGTAGAAATCTGGGGTTCGGATAAAAAATGTGAGATTTGAACTTTACATAGCTAATTTTGCATATTGTTTCGCGATTAACGCTGGAATGTTTTAATTTTGCAGTTCTGTTGTCAGCCTACCAGAAGTGGCTGCCGGAATCCGCGCACGCAGAAGTGGCACAGATATGGCCGCCTCTCTAATTAAGATTAAAACATTAGGATTGTAATTATATATATACAGTTTTTAAAATAAATAAATAATTTTATATAATATGAAAAAAAAATCGAAATGCATCAGTTTTAGCTCTCCGGGTGCGTGGGTATACGACGGTATGGCATCTGAGCCAAAATATCTGCTCGTAATTGTAAAACTGGCAAGCCAGGCAGGCTTCCTTCTAAAAAAAAAGTAGGTGGGAGAAGCGGAGAAGGGACTCAGGGCCAGTGGTGCGATTCTGTAACTCGTTATACGCTCAGTTGTGCAAGTATACTATATGATAAAAAAGCTACGCAACGACAATACAACGATGATACTGTATAACGAGTTACAGAATTGCAGTTCAGAGCCGTTACGAAAAATCAATATGATGTCAAAATGACAATGACGTAACGGTTCATCTTTTCTCTTTTGCTTCTCACATTGGAGAGAAAAAGAGAAAAGATGAACCGTGCAAAAAGTTCAGCTAAAACGAACAGGCCTTTTAGCTGCGGTCCACTTGATGCTACAAATGGTTCGAAGCATTCCTCTTCTCTTTTCTTTCAATAAAGAAAGAAGGAGAAGAAGAACGCTTCAAAGCATTTGTAGCGTCAAGTGGACCACAGCCTTTTTGTCGTCCAACGCCGCCCGTCGGCATTTCGCAGCTACCTTTTTCTCGCTAGCTATAGCCTTATGCAACAACGTTCTATAATTATTTATCATCTAATTATATTCGAGAGAGCATGCCTCGTATTAAAGAATACATAATAATATTAAAATAAACGTATTTCTCGAGATTTATTTGGTGTCGCGTGTGGTATTTCGGAGCTCCGAATACAGTCGTCCAACGCCGCCCGTCGGCATTCGCATCAGCTATACCTTTTTCTCGTTGGCTAGCATTATAGAACGGCATTTTATAATTATTTATCATCTAATCACATTCGAGAGAGCATGCCTCGCATTAAAGGATACATAATAATATTAAAATAAACGTATTTCTCAAGATTTATTTAGTGTCGCGTGTGATATTTCGGAGCTCCGACTTTGTCGTCCAACGCCGCCCGTCGGCATTCGCAGCTACCTCTCTCTCGTTGGCTAGCATTATGAAATAGCATTTTATAATTATTTATCGTCTAATCACATTCGAGAGAGCATGCCTTGCATTAAAGAATACATAACAATATTAAAATAAACGTATTTCTCGAGATTTATTTGCAGCCAACGCCGCCTGTATTATTCGCAGCTACCTTTTTCTTGTTATCTAACATTATGCAGCAACATTTTTAAACTCTTTAGCGTTTAATTACATCTGGGAGAGCAAGTCTGGCATTAAAGCATACATAACAATGTTAAAATAAATATATTTCTCGAGATATGTCCCAGTGTCGTAGCATTTCGGATCGTCTACTTTCTCGCCGAGCGCAAGCGACGGCATTCGTAGTATCCTTTTTTTCGTTGGCTAGCATTATGCAGAGGCATTTTATAACCCTTTATCGTTTATTCTTGTTCGAGAGAGCATGCCTCACGTTAAAGAACACATAACGATGATAAGATAAACGTATTTCTTGAGATTAGGCGTGTCGTTCGTCCAGTTATAGCCGGCGTTATAGGTGCGAAGTTATGGATCTTTGATCGCGTATAAAGCTGGGTCTAATCAACCAAATCTTAAAAAATTATATATGAAATAAGGGTAAAAAAGACTGAGAAATATAATAAAATTAGAAATAGATCGATATCTTCAAATTTGCGGAAGTCAGAGCAAACACGGACATCAAATCTGCATGATACATAATTGCGAGTAATACACGTGAGAAATACCAATAGGGCAAAGTACAAAATCTTTTTTAATTCATCTTTCTATTATTTACGGTTGCCGAGATATAAGCGTTTTACGAAAGTCAAAAATCATTTTACGCCCGATCGTTACGGCACGCGCGCCCTTTATCATGTTAAATAAACGGAAGGACGTACGTGTTAGTAACAAAATCGAGATATTCCAATAGCGCAGAGTATAAACTAAACAGTCCTTTTTGAATCATCTCTATATCTTGGGTGGTTGCCCAGATATTTGCGATAAACGATAGGGAAGACTTTTTTTTTCGCGCCAAGTCAGCGACACATGGCCTTGACCTACTTTCGACGAACAGCTGTACATTATTGATTTTTACTTTCTAAATTGGCCTTGACCTAGATCACCGAGTCCGGGAATGCCGGCCGGCGCGCGGCGTGTGTGTGTGTATATATATATATATGCACGGCACGTCTATCCGTAAAATTCATAAATAT